CCCCTTCCCTGGCAGTGTTCCAGGCCAGGTTGGATGGGGCTTTGGGCAACCTGGTGTAGTGGAGGGTGTCCCTGCCCATGGATATATCACCCAGCTGGCTTGTATTGGTAATCACCTAATTAAGGTTTAGGCTCTGCCTACAAAAGGCAGGCCATTTCCTCCTGGCTGTGGGAGATGCAATGACATCCTTGGAGCTGCAGCCTGGGCTGGTGAGCAACACCTGCCCATGGCAGGGGGGTTGGAACTGGATGATCTCTGAGGTCCCTTCCAACCCAAACCGCTCTGTGATTCTATGATTCCCTGGTTCTCTTCAATGGAACCAAATCTTATAGAAAAAAAAACAAATTAATTAAAAAGAGAAGGAGCTGCCTGATCTGGGGTTCCAGTCCCACGTTCAGCCCAGAATTCCACTGGCTTCCTCAGCATGAGACAAGCCCCAGAGACGGGACTGAATCCTGCACGGTGGGGACGTATCCGGAAACATCCACCTGGTTTAACAGAATCACAGCAGCTTCAGGGAATCTTAGTGTACGAGTGGCTCAACAACCCTGCCACGTTCCTACGGCACGAGCGCTGCAAAAATCCTTCAATAACCCATTTTCTGATTCGGACCCGGGAGAGTCTGTGCTGAGGACAGCAGAGGGTGCTCCAGGGCAAGAAACTCCAGCCCACGCAGTCTTTTGTCACCGTGTCTCCACGGCTGGACGCTGGTGTTTTCTTTTAAAGACTGTTCAGTTAATTAAAAATTCTGCCATGCGAAGCACCAGGACGCTGAAACATGATTAATTCTTCTTAAAATATTCAAATTCGTTATCTGCAAGATATCTGCAATTATCTGCAAGATTTTCTCCCTTTCTGATCGCAAAAACAGAGAAGGTGGGGCGTCCCAGTTACAGGTTCAGTTTTACTTTCACTTTTAAAAGGGACATTAGCGACCTGGAGCAGCTCCTCGCGTGAGTTAACTCTTCCTCTCCACGCACACACACACACACGAGTTCGATATTTGCTGGTAAGAAGTGAAAAGTGTATTTTGTTTTTAAAAAATGCGTAGAACTAAGTAATCCGTGTTCACTTCAACTCTCATTCTAGTCCAGAACTTTTTGGCCTTATTAAACTTCTGGACATCTACAATGCTCAGGAAAAAAAAAAGACAGGAAAGCTGGACTCCAAAATCTTTCCCTGTGTTAGGATACAGCTCCCAACGATTTGGCAAACACCTTCACGGAGTTCCTACGGCCCCAGGGATCTTATGACTCTCCACTTAAATCCATGTTTGAAACAACTCGGAAGCAGCCCAACTATTTCCACATTTGCCATTTCTGTTAAGACATTCCACGGAGCCAAACCGCGGCTGAAAAGATGGTCTGAGTAGAACCAGCAACAGATTCCTCAATAAATCAGAGCTGGAGCAGCCAACGGGTGGGAGCGATGTGGCATGCCCAGAGCTCTCCGGGCTAAAAGCTCCCTGTTTGTGCCAGGACTGCGGGACAGCAGGAGCCTGCAGTTCTCCGCAGAGCAGCCCCCAGACCCGCTGGCTGTGGGTACCAGCCCTGGGATGGCACGTGCACGGGTACTACAGGTATCAGCCCGGGATGGCACTTGCACGGGTACTGCGGGTACCAGCCCAGGATGGCACGTGCACGGGTACTGTGGGTACCAGCCCAGGATGGCATGTGCACGGGTATTGCGGGTACCAGCCCTGGGATGGCACGTGCATGGGTACTGTGGGTACCAGCCCGGGATGGCACGTGCACGGGTACTGCGGGTACCAGCCCTGGGATGGCACATGCATGGGTACTGCAGGTACCAGCCCAGGGTGGCACGTGCACGGGTACTGCGGGTACCAGCCCTGGGATGGCACATGCATGGGTACTGCAGGTACCAGCCCAGGGTGGCACGTGCACGGGTACTGCGGGTACCAGCCCGGGATGGCACGTGCATGGGTACTGCAGGTGGCAGGTGCATGGGTCCTGGGGGTCCCAGCCTGGGATGGCATGTGCACGGGTACTGTGGGTACCAGGCCGGGATGGCACATGCACGGGTACTGCGGGTACCAGACCTGGGATGGCACATGCACAGGTACTGCGGATACCAGCCCAGGATGGCACGTGCACGGGTACTGCGGGCACGTTCTCTCCCCATCACCTCCAGACAACAGAAAATTGCTTTGACTGAGACCAGCATTGCCATGGGAGGAAAGTGAATGGGCAAAACTGACGAGCAGCAAAGCCACTGGGCATCCTCCCGGAGCACTTTTCCATCAATAAGCACACACTAAATAGTCACCATTTCTGAACCATTACGGACAAGCGGGATAATTCCAGTCCCAGTAATTTCCTTGGCTACAGTTTTCCAGGCGAGACGATGAGCTGCAGCTTTAACCAGACTACAGCAGCTGCTCCGTGAAAGCAGCACCACTTCCCAACGCCGAATTCGGGAAGTCGCGTCACATTAAACCCACCTGTATCTGCCGCCTTTGGCTCCTGCCTTATCTGTGTTTCCTCCTTCCTAAGGGAGAAAATGGCTACATTTTCCCATGGACTCCATCAGAACACTGTTCTTCTACTCCCAGTTTCAGTAAGGACTTAAAGCCACTGGAGAATATCTGCTTAATTGCCTCGCTTCGCTTTCTGCGCCATTAAATTTATCCGTCATAGGAGCCTCCTGAAGTTTCATAAACTTACTTGATATTGTCATCCTGGTCTGCAAACTCCTCATCGTTAAAGCCAAACTGATCCACGAAGTTGGCTGTCATCTGCTGGATCTGGTACTCGGAGAAGGCCTGAGCAACAGAACCCAAAAAGAGCCTCATTAAGGTGTCCAAGGATATCCAGTTCAGGTGGCTGAAACACGTACTCCAAAAAGCATTAAAATCATAGAAATCTGATGAACTTGGAGAAATCACCTACTTCAACCCCCTTTCTCAAAGCAGGATCAAACAGACTTCTGCAGGTCCTGCACAGATGCTTCTCTGACCTGCGCTTAACTTCTTCCGAAGAGAGTTATGAAATTTTCCAAGGAAATCATTTGTTGGCTTCATTATTCTATCTGAATGTTGCATTGGGGTTTTTTCATTTGTTTGTCTTCCCCTGATGCACTATGAAATGGCAGGGGGGTAGGGACTGGATGATCTTTGAGGCCCCTTCCAACCCAAACCATTCTATGATTCTATGAAATGATTTAAACTGAAAGAGGGCAGATTTAGGTTAGATATAAGAAATAAATTCTTTACATTGAGGGTGGGGAGGCACTGGCACAGGTTGCCCAGAGAAGCTGTGGCTGCCCCATCCCTGGCAGTGTTCAAGGCCAGGTTGGATGGGGCTTTGGGCAACCTGGTGTAGTGGAGGGTGTCCCTGCCCATGGCAGGGGGGTTGGAACTGGATGATCTCTGAGGTCCCTTCCAACCCAAACCATTCCGTGATTCTATGATTCTAAATCACTTCTGAAGCTCACTGCCTCCAACTGGACATTCACCAAGGAGGATGGAAGAATTACTCCAGATGTCTCTGAGACAACACTCCCACCTATCATATGTTTGGCTTCCCACAGCAGATTGGGTCTTCTATTTTTCAGCTTGCAGCCCAGGATAATTGCCCAGATACGCTTGTGGTCACATTCTTGCCCACCCGCTCATGCCTCATTCTCTGTTTACGAAAAGGATCGCTTCTGCCTCCAAACAGAACCTCATACTTGCTCTTAAGCATTGCATTTCATGGGGTTTTCCAGCTCATTTCTCCTGTTTGGAGGACAATTCTGAACACTGGGAGGCAGCCCACTCCAGCTGCAGCCAAGTGCTTCAAACATGCATCTCTGCAGCTGCACTTTGTCGTGACTCCACCGGAGGTGACACGAAGTACCCATGTTCCTGCCTGAGGAGTTCTGCAGGCTCCTGTCAATATTTCTTTTGATACTTGTCACAGTAAAAGACAAAAGATTTTTTTCTTTTACAAAGGCAATGCATTTTTCCTTTTTTAATGCACTTTCTAAGTATCAGCTGAGAAAAATATAAGATATTTGTAATGCCAGAGTAGACAGCCAGAGTATTTGGACAAAATAATAACTGTAAACTGTTTTCAGCTCATTTTTACTGTTAATGGATTTCAGATTGAGATTGTCTCTTTACTCCCCACCAGCAGCTTCCTAAGAAACAGGTTGCAACTCGTATGTTCTGCTAACGCTCTTTATGTTTTCAGCACCAAAAAAGGTTGGAAAAACTGGTCTAAATGCTTCACCCTGAAAAGCAGTTTCCATATGTTTGATGGACCTTTAGCAGAGCACCTCAGATTCTGAGGATCTTGAGATCTTTGCTAAATGCAAGTGAACTTTAATTACCTTCATTTCTTCTTAAGTCAAGGGTTTTTACTGCTCTTACTGCTAATACTTTTCACTGCTAACATTTTAGTACGGCTCTTTAGTTTGTAGTAGAGGTCTGCACAGCCCACGAGGAAGCACAACCCCTCTATCAGCTCCAGTTCTACTGCTGGTAAGTGATGCACATCACCTTGTTGGCTGGGAACTACAGCAACTCGGCGCAGGTGGTCTACACCATCAGGACCACCCAACCCCATAGTAGTGTGGGGACAACCAGGGAAACAGGAAGAAACAGGCAGTGTCTCACAGGAACGTGAGATGCATCATGCATCGGGACTGGCATGCAGTCTGAGCCAAATTTATTCCCAGCTGGAGTTTGGACCACGTAAGTAACTACACTGGGAAAACACAAAATGAGCTGAACACACTGAGGAGAATTTAGGAAGTTGCTCTGTACTAGGATGGATTAAGGGTGAATCAGAGGAGCAAGCTTCCCAGGAATAGTGAAGAGCGTGTTGTCAACTCACCTGCTGGAGAGAAAGCTCATTGGGAAAAGCACTCTCAATGTCTTCATCCTCACTGGAAGAGTGCAGATGGTGAGTGCTCACCTGGAAAACGTAGGGAAAAAAGAAAAGCAGGAGTAAAGCTAAGAAAGCTCAAATACTTTCACTCCACACATACAACCAAAGAGCAAACTGCCCAGCAGGCAGGAAGCGTTCCAACGAATAACTCGGAAATGTGGGCTGCAGTTTACCAACATGCATCAGAGCTGCTGCTGCTTGAAGAACTATTATGGAGCATGTTCTCTACAAATGCTATTGCCCATGCAAGCCTGCTTCACAAAAACAGGCAAAAGAAGAAAAAGAACCAGCAAACTCTTCTTATTTTTAGTTAAAGAAACCACAACATCACTGCTCTCACCAAATCCACTGTATTCCTCCTGTTTGTTTCTGTCAGCGTCTCTTCCACAAAACTCTCCCATCTCCCTCTGCAATCTTCAGGCAGCTCTGTAACAAAAAGGTCAGCGTAAAGATTGCCACGACTGAGGAGAAGGATGGAAGCCAGTCACTTAGCCTCACTGGCTACCTGGAAGTGTTTGAGCAGACACCTACACTGCACGTGAGCTAGCCATGCACGGGTCTGTAAGTGCTCTGCGAAGTGAATCACATTTTACTTGTCGTTTCCTAAAAATGCTAAATTCTGCAGGGAAAGGAGCATCTTCCATCAGGCCAACCAGAAAGACGTTACCAGGCTTAACAACTTTACATGGCTTGTGGAGTTATGGTTGGCTCAAGACACAAAACTTCTACGACTTTCTGAAAACCAGCACACGTGTGACTGGAGTTCTACTCTTTCCTTCCTTTTCTTTCACGGTGATCGTGGTGGGTTGATGCCAGCCAGCAACTAAGCACCCAGCCAGCTGCTCGCTCACTCCACCCTACACAGCAGGAGAGAGGAGAGAACTGGAATACCAAAAGTGAGAAAAACTCACGGGCTCAGACGAAGAAAAGTTTAATAAGTGAAGAAAAGAGAAAAAAACCCCAAACAAACCAAGTGATGCAAAGGCACTCAACTCAACACCTCCCACCATCAGACTGCTGGTCAGCCAGTCTCCGAGCAGGAGCTACCTCGGGAAGACTGTGCCCCCCAGTTGCTACTGCTGAGTGCATGGCACGGAATGCCCCTGCAGTCAAGCCAGGGCAGCTGTCCAGCCGTGTGTCCCCCCCCCCCCCCCCTCCCATCCAAAAACCCGCGGGGTGGGGACAGAGCGTGCCAAGAGCGAGCCCTGGCGTGGGCAGGCCCTGCTCAGTGGTGTGTTACCAAGGAGAGGAGCGTGTACCTTTAATGAACTCACTGATCTGAGCCTGCATGGGGCCCTTCTCCATGTTCTGCACCACGGCGTTGGCTATCCGGGTGAGGTGGCCCATATTGCCTCGCCTCATGCCACCTTCTGCCCTGAAAAGAGAAACAGCCAGTAGCAACATAACCAGGCACCAGGGACCCCCGGGCACAGTCACAGCTGCTGTCACAACCCAGACATGCCACGGGCCCCCCACTGGTGCAACGGTCTGATGTCCGTACACGTCCCTGCACGCAGGGTTAGTGCAGAAGGCAGAGCAAAGGATGAGCAGGAAT